TGCAGTAGCAAATTTTTTTGGGATTGTCATTTTTTTTGATTATGCCTTTTTAATTTTTGTTTGTTTTTGAAGTTTTTTATTAAACTGATGGTGTTAGAAACTGCTTGTAATGAGCTGCTACTCATTCATATCAAATCAACATCCTACCTACTTTTACAATTCAGTATATTATCGCGTAAAAATAATTTGGCTTTCATTATTTCAATGCTGTTTTCATTTCTCTTTCCCTAATCTTAACGACAAAAGAAAAAAAAACACCCACATCAGTGCCAACCTGACGTGGCGAGACGTCCAGCATCTAGTCGTTGAGACATCGGTCATCCCAAGTGAGAAGGAAGACGGTTGGAAGGTTAACGCGGCCGGCTACCACGTCAACCACAGGTTCGGATTCGGAGTGCTGGATTGTGGTAGGATGGTTGAGGCCGCGGAAAACTGGATCGGGATTCAGGAACAGCTGAAGTGTGTCGTTAAATCACAAGGGCCTACCAGGTATGACGCAATCAATCAATCACTTTAAAATTTGAGCTAATAACACCAAAATATTGATCTCCAACTATACACTAGACTACATCTGTTACACACACCACACACACACACACACACACACACACACACACACACACACTTACAAAACAAACAACATACATACATTTCAAACAACATACCATTTCACAGAATTCTCTATAAAGACTCAACAATAACAGAAGTCCTCTCAACTACCTCCACGAGCTCCGACTGCAACCACAACAACCGCAGCCGCGCGTCGGCCATCGACCACTTGGAGCACGTTCAAATCCACATAAAATTAGTACATCGAAGGAGAGGTGACGTCACTATTTCGCTAACCAGTCCCCAGGAAACCACGTCGAACATTCTGAAAGTTCGGCCTTTAGATAGATCCGGGAATGGCATCGATTTTGTCTTCATGACTGTTCATAGCTGGGGTGAGAATCCATCCGGAAATTGGACCCTAACTATCAAGGATAACTCAGGTCTAAGGGAAAATATGGTCAACAGTATCAACAACTCCTATGATGATGGTGAAGATGAGGGTGGTAATGATAATGATCCTGACGGCCATAACAATAATAATAGTAATAATAATGATGATCACGATGATAATTCTGGAAAAGTGCAGGTTGGTATGCTGTTGAAGTGGTCGTTGATATTGTACGGCGTTGAGGGGGAGTTGAAAAATCACAAAAAGTGGATCGGGTCGGATGGAATCGTTCACAGTGCTGACGGAAAAGCTAAAGGAACCAGACTTGAGGCTAAGAGGAGAGAGTTAGAAAGAGAATCAAAAAATTATAACTATAATAAAAATAATAATTATAATATAGATGATAATAATAAGAATGAGGATGTTGATGTCGGGACCGGTTTCGAGTTATCATCATCTACCTCGTCACCTTCATCTCTCTTCACCACTCTACCTAGCAGTGCTTACGGCTATTTGAGCAGCAAACTAAGGAAAGCCTATTCCATCTGGAGGTCGGAAAGTGATGGAGGCTTTGATTATAACGACAATGGTTATCACAATCGTAATGATGGTGCTGATTGGGCTGATGATAATAATTTATTCACTCTTGGTAACGGTGGAGGAGCTGACGATGTTGATGCAGATGATGGTAATAATGGTGAGGAGGATGTTGATGATGAAAGTGAATTAGATCAACAGTTGAAGTATTTTTTGGAGGATTTTATGGAATCTCAAACCCAACTTTACAAACACAAATACGAGCACAGGCACTCGAATAAAAAATCGAAATTCTCGAAATAAACTTAGAAAATGCTCAAAGTAATAGAATTATTGGTTATTTAATTATTTTTTAAATTTAATTTCATTTAATTATAGAGTTTTAATTTAATAGGATGCGTTTTAATAATGATGTTGATATTATGCAATCGACTTTTTTGCTTTTATACAAACCACTTATTTATTCATTCATTTATTCGTTCATGCATGCATGCATTTATTTGCCACATTTACAATTTTTATATGCATTTTATTTATTTTTTGGTTTCAGTTTCGATTTACATTTTTATCTGTGTTCATTTATTTGCCACAATTAAAAAAACCTGTACGTGCGTTTTAATTAAGTCGTTTGATGGTTCCACTTTCGATTTCCGTTTTTAACTTAATTCATTTAATTCATTCATGCATGCATTCATTCGTTTGTTTATCTTTATTATTGGTTTCAGTTTCGATTTCCATTTTTATCTGCATTCCTTTTTTATATGAAACCTTTTGAAATACCATATATTTAGCTCAGCTTCTGACATTTAAATTATTTTTAAATTTTGTTGCTTTTTTGAAAGTTTGTATTTTCCAATTTATATTTGATTTTAAGTAAAGTATTTGTTTATTAGTAATTGTATAGATAAAATGATAACGATAAAAGCTTTTGAATAAAATGTCTACAATCTAATTCGAACCTTTTATTTTTTAAAACAGCAAAATACATAGAAATTTATAATATAAATCGCACTTTATCACGTCCGAATCATTTTATTGAAGCTTATAAAAAATACTTAACTAGTAGTTTCTATATATATATATATATATATATATATATATATATATATATATATATATATATATATGTATAACAGCAGTAAGGGTCCCGAATTGTTTATCATGAATACATATCATGAATGTACATACTGCCTGTATGTGTGTGTAATATGATAAATACATATATGTTATAGATAAACACCTTATATGTCTCTCCCTCTCTCGTCTCTCTCTCTCTCTATACATATATATATATATCGTCTATGGTCGCCATCTTCCCTAACGTTCGCTGGCCGTTTCTTCGTCATCGGCACCGGCATCAGTCTTCAAGAGATGTTTAGGCAGAGCGAACCTGATCAGTTGTTTTTTCTCCGAAGATAGGGATGTGGGGAATTCTATGTTGAAGTGTATGATCATATCCCCCTTCTTTGAGGGGTCGTTCGGTAGGGGCATGCCCTCCCCTATCACTGTCCTCGTGTAGCCCGGTCTGCAGAGGGTTAAAAGTCAAAAGGTCATTCTCTCTTTTGCACTTGCTTTAGAGGTACCACTTATTATTATTATTATTGATGTTGTCATTGTTGTTCCATTCTAGTAATAATAAAAATGGCGGTAAAAATAAATAAAAAAGATAATAAATGCGAAAAAGAAATTACTTGATGATGTCAGTCAGTGGAATGTGCAGAATTCTGTCGTCAACTGTATTTATATCTAAGGTAGTGCCTGTCAGAATATTATGCATATATATATATATATATATATATATATATATATATATATAATTTCATAATAGAATAATATATATATATAATTTCATAATAGAATAATATATATATATATAATTTCATAATAGAATAACAATAATTATTATTTTAGTTAATCCTGCTCTAATTATTGCTAGTGGTTAAGGGGTAGATACGCGCGTATATGATACTGATACCTCTGAGATTTAAGAAGAATATTAATACATTATTTTTATATTTTTATTAATTATACTATAATTATTATTATAGTAATTATGAAAGTGGAATAATTTTTACCTGTAAGGGCATGGTGCAGTGTTATAGGTGTCGTGTATATAAGGTCGTAGCCCTCTCGTCTGTAGTTGGGGTGTGGTTTGTCCCTTAGGATGAAGATGACGTCAGCTGTTTGTATGTGTACGTTGTGTGTGTGTGTGTGTGTTTGTAGAAGTGTGTACGTGTATGTGTGTATATATATTACTTACGAATATATATACTTTTATAATATATAAACTTACTTATTTTCGCTTTGATTTTGTTGTTAAGTGAATAATTATTTGTTTGTTACTACCGCCATTGACTGTACTTTTTTTCTTTTTTGACTTTGTTTGTTTATAGATAGCGCTTTTGAGAACTTTTTGATTTTAATTAGCGCTTATAAATGTTTCATTAATTATAATAATAATATATATGTTAGTGTTTGTGTGTGTCTGTGAATGTGTGTGAGTGATTGTGATTAACGAAAATTATTAATATAATAATTTAATTTACTGAACCAGGAATATTATTTGGACTTTGATCGCCCTCTTGTGGAAAAGTTATTCTCGTCCCCTCCTTCCAGCCCCTCTTTACAGTTATCGTTAAAATTTTCTCTTGCACAGATGTCGTTCGTTCGTCTTTATTTAGCACCTAATAATTTGTATTGATTGTTTGGTTGGCTGGTTGATTGGTTGGACAGTTGGTAGACCAAACAATTGGTTGGTTGGTTGGTTGATTGATTGATTGATCGATTGATTGACTGACTAACCGACCAATCATTTATACAAAAATTGAAATCAACCTTTTTCATTATTTTCATTTTTTTAGTGCAACCGTGAAAGACCTCACTTAGATCCAGCCATAATATTTTCTCATCGGGGGGGTCCTGTTTTTTAGCCCCGATCCCTTTCAATCCTCCGAATCCCATACTCAAGTCCCCGTCAATCCTGTCGTAATATTCTGCAAGAGCATTTTAAAACGTTTCAGAAAAAACACTCAAAATGTCATTCCATCTAATCATATTTCTCTGTAGTTGAATTGTATATTGCAGTTATTGTCTATTCATATTTCTAAATAAATTTACACATTTTATTAGGAGCAAGGCGGCAATGATGCCAATGTTAAGTTTAAATGTCTTAGTTCAATTACTGCGAAAAAAAATTCTCGCGTTATCACAGCTAAATGCTTACTGCGATTTAAGAAGTAATTTTTATATGGAAAATTTAACCAAATATGAAAATAATATAAAAATTTTGACCTTTGTAAGGGTTGTCTCCGCCAAAAAACTCTCTAAAAACTCTTTTGACGTCTCCATGAAATGAATAACCCTGGGTCCAGGCCCCAGAGCCCTGTGATCCAGTAGGGACTCCACGTTTCAAGCCCTCCTCACCAAACTGATCATAAGTCGCTCTTTTACATTCTTTCGAGTGATAAATTGACTAGTTTATAATAAATAAATCTAAGAACTAATTAGAAAATATGAACATTTTTTAGTGAGAATGATTTAGGAAGTTTTAATTTGCCAGATACCGTCACTGAGAACGTCATAAGCCTCGCAGATGAGGAAAAATTTCTCGGCAGCGATTTCGTCGCCGGCTGATCGCTTCTTCGAGTGGTATCTTAGGGCCAACTTCCTAAAACTTACAAACAAAATTTGATTCTTTTTATTTTATACTAAAAAAAACTAGATTAAATCATGAATTAGATCTTGAATTTAATTAAAAATAACAAAATAACATAGCTAGAAGTTATAAAAATGACGTAAATACATTTAAATGTACAATAAAATGAAAGAATTAAGTGAAATATAATTGAAATTTGACTTTTAAACAAGGTAACTAACGCCTTATTGATATCAGCATCGGTGGAGTTCGGGGCAATTTCCAGTATCCTATAATAGTCCCAACCCATTTCGAAAATTCACTAATCAATCTTTTATCAATCACTAATCATTAATCAGACTGTTAGAGAATTTAGAAAAATAAGTGAAATAAAGTCTAAAAGTTTAAATCTCCAAGTTTAAACATTTTAAAACGGTTTCCTAGCAACGTAAACAAAACTATATATATTATATATATACATATAAATATATATACTGTATATATACATATATATATACAATTATACAACACTAATCTATCCGAAGTTTGAACGAAAAGACAGGTTAGAAAAGACAGGCAACTACTTTCTGATATTGATCAGAATTTGATTTATTAACGATAATTTTGGAGTGAATTGAGAAAATTTTGTGGCCTGTGAACCCGAAGAACAAAAACATAAACACACACACACAGGCAGAAAAACATATATACACACACATATATATATTTATGTATAATATAATTTATTTATGGTCTATTACCAACACACACACAGACATATATATATAACGTTTATATATTCTGAATACATACAAGACGACTATGGAGATATCAAACTGAGTAATGAACAATGAAATTGAGTTACATATGTAACATAAAAACTGAGTTTATTTAATATTTTTAAAATGAAGTAACTAAGTGCGAACAAATAGATAATAGTATAGTAAAACATATAAATAATCAAGTTCACGTCATCTGAATTATCGTTACTAGCTTTATTAGACTAATTAATTAATTAAATTAATTAATTAATTAATAAGTTAATTAAGTCATTCAACAAGAGCCCCAAGTCAATTTAGCCACGTGATCAGTTTTTCGGCGTGTCGGCTTGATAAAACCCAAAAATTGGAGCTCGGAAACGGCGCGAATGAAACGAGCCCTGGGAGAAAATATTTTTTTAAAAGTTAATCTTAACTGCAAATAAATTAAATTACAATTAAATTTGATATATTCCTGAAAAATAATTGGTATTTTTCTCCAATTTAATTATTATTTTTCAACAAAACATAAGTAATAATATAGAAAAATTTATATATATATTTTTTTATATATTTTTCAACAAAACATAAGTAATAATATAGAAAAATTTATATATATATATATATATATATATATATATATATATATATATATAACATATCTTCTAAGATATTAAATGTATTTCCGTTATTTACTGTGTAGTTTTGTCCACGTCATTTTCGTCGTCATCTCCGTCTGACTTCACAATGGTGTTGAAAGCCTAAAATAAAATAAAAAAATACTCAACCAATCAATTAGCCAATCAATAAATCGACCAACCAACCAATCAGCCAATCAATAAATCGACCAACCAATCAGCCAATCAATAAATCGACCAACCAACCAATCAATAAATCGGCCAACCAACGAATCAATAAACCGACCAACCAATCAGCCAATCAATAAACCGACCAACCAACCAACCAGACAATTGAAATAAATAAATAATTATGTATTTATTTATTCATTTAAATAAATAATTAACCTGAAGCCAGTCGTAAAGGTTGATGAGTTTTCCGCACTCAAGGTAGAGTTTGTACATTACAGAAATGTCCGGTAGGTCAGCGCTTATCTGACCGCTCGTTGTCAGCAAGTCCTCATTCTCCAGTCATAATTATTATTATAATTATTATTATAATTAATTATAAGTATAATTATTAGTATTATTATAATCAATATTATTTTGAAATAATTATCACCACTGTAATTATTATTCTCTATGTAACTATTTGAAACGCCACCAGAGAAGACGACAAATCTATAAAAGATACCATAAAAAAATATATATATATATAACAAGAGATTATCATTTACAATACCTGCAGATACAAGTATGGGTTATTGAGGGCCATTTGCGTGGCTGACCTAGGCGAGGGTAGAATTCTTTCCTTGAGGAAGCCAACGTTCCTGAAGTACAGACACTCGTATAGTGGGAAACTGCGGGGACATTGTAGGTACTTCCTGGTGAATGATAAAAATAGATAACGATAAACTGTGTGTCTTTTCTCTATCTCCATGTGTCTTCTTCTTTCTCATTGGCTTGGCGACTATCGACCTCCACAAAACACGATCTTTAAAATCAATTCAACTCCTCCTTTCATATGTTTGCAGTTCTTGTGTGTGTATGTGTGTGTGTGTTTAACACTTTGTAGTAGTTGAAATTGATCTGTGTACATGTGTACGTGTGTGTGTGTTTAACACTTTGTAGTAGTTGAAATTGATTTGTGTACGTGTGTGTGTATATGTGTGTGTGTGTGTGTGTACCTTTTTATAGTATTGTATATTTCGGTAAATTAACGTACACACATACACACATAATGCATGTATGTTTGCGTATGATTGTATGTATTTGGGCATACGTGTAAGTACGATGTGTACACCTGTATATTATATTTTAATAATAATAATTATTATTATGATTAATAATAATTTGAATTAATAATAATTATAATTAATAATAATTATAATTAATAATATAAATATTATTATAATTTCGGACTTGAAGATGTCATCCAGATAGATGGCGATATGATCTTTCATCTGCTCATATTGGCTCATATTACGATTCTCTTCACTGTTATTTCTCTTTAGGACCTTTTCAAGAAAAATAAGAAAAGATATAATTAATATTATAATAAAATATAATCAAAATATAATATAGAATATTTTTAATAATTAATCTAATTAATCAATTAATTGATTGATTGATCGACCGATTCGTCAATCATTCCTTCAATCAACCAACCAGCCAGCCAACCAACATATCAAAGGACCAAATTATGCTAAACTAGTCAATCAATCAATCAATCAATCAATCAATCAATCAATCAATCAATCAATCAATCAATCAATCAATCAATCAATCAATCAATCAATCAATCAATCAATCAATCAATCAATCAATCAATCAACCAACCAATCAATCAGCAAACCAATTAATCAACCAATAAAAAATTCACAGAAAATAAAATTAACTCTTCTCAATGTCATCATATCCATCTTTTCCATCGTCAAGGGATTATTATTATTATTACTATTATTATTATTGTTATTATTACTATTATTATTATTATCATCATTGTTACTATCGTCTTCTGCATTATAGTTTTCATTGCCTACAAATAAAAATGAATGAATGAATGAATGAATGAATGAATGAATGAATGAATGGATGAATGAATGAATGGATGAATGGATGAATGAATGAATGAATCAATAAATCGATCAATCAATTAAATTATTAATTAATTAAGTAATTGAAACAAGATTAGATAAATGTATTTAGCAGTTGGAAATCGAATAAATAAGAAAGGTTCTTTTGAAACAACATAACAATAGCCCGCACACAAATGATACGTTGAATCGAGATTAGTTAGATGTATGTAGTTGAGTAAAAAAAACTGAATAATCAACGATCACGTTCATACACACACACACACACACACGCACACAAACACACACACACGCACACATTCGTCAAACACAAAAAATGTTTCCATTTTAAACCTTGCTGCTTAACAAGTCTATCGATAAAACTGTCTAATGTCTTTGAAATATTTTCCCATAAGAATTTCGAACCAGGCAACGACGATGATGCTGATGATGATTGTGGTAATGCTGATGATGATGATACATTATCAACGATTTCTTTAACTTTATAAAGACTGTTCAGCATTTCATCCAATGAAAATGATCTGAAAGAATTATGTTGAAATTTGAAATTAGTTGGATATTCGAAATAAAAATCGGAATTAGTTGAATGTTAAGAAAAAGGAGCTTAAATTAACTAAATATTAAACAATAGAGACTTAAATTAGTTAAATATTAAAAAATATAATTTCAAATGACTTAAATGTTAACTTCAGAACTTAAGATTAGTTAAATGTAACGAATAAACGTTGAAATTAGTTAAATATTAACATTCAAAAAATTGAAATTAGTGGGATACTCACTTGATGAGGAGAATTGCCTGCCTGTATGCAGACGTGTTGCAAATGGAACTTTGTAGACACATGCTGTATAATTCTCTGGGCTGATGAATGAATCGTTAATCGGTTTAGCACTCAATCAATCATTCATTCCTTCTTTTTTTTTCTTTCCTTCACTTTCACCCATTTTTTCGTTCATTCTTCCATTAATCTAGCTAATCGTTCATTCATTAATTAGCTCGTTTTATTCATTTGTCATTTTTCAATTCATTCATAAGACCAACCAATCATCCATCCAACCAACCAACTAACCAATCATTTAACCAACTAACCAATCAACCAAACACCCAACCAACTAATCAACCAATCAACCAACCAAACAACCAACAAACCAACCAACAAACCAATCAATCAACCAACCAGCCAACCAACCAATTTTCCGAGCGGATGCTGTGGAAGTGAGCAGGTGAGCACATGGAGGCAGCGAAACGCAAGAAAAAAATCCCGATGGTAATCTTTTATTATGGACAGCATCCTTATAACTGTCATCTGGTTTGAGTAAATAATTAGAGTAGACTAGACATATTTCTCATAAAACCAGTCGAACGTCTCAAAACTTGCCAAATAGTAATTTACGTTTTATTAACCACACACACACACGCACACAAACACACACACACGCACAGATACACACGAACGCACACACACACACGTACACAACACACTCACGTAAGTCATATCTAAAATTACAACTATAATAAACGATAATTAAGAATTAATTATTTTTCATCGACACCTTGGTATATTTGCTATCTTCCAACAGCTTAATCTGTTCTTCTGGCCCACTTGATTCAACGTACCTTTTTCGGAAAAAACAAAAAGAATAATAATAAATAATAATAAATAATAATAATAAGCCCACTTTCTAAACGAAGGAACACTCCTGATCTGGTCTAGAGTTCGATTGGAGATTTTTTTGAAAAACTTTTGAAACTTCGGTGAGTCAGTATCAACGCATAGAACGCTGCCTGGCATCGAGTGGAAATGCTCCAACATGGCTAGCTGTGTGTGTGTGTGTGTGTGT